GTGGGCTTCGTATAGGTGTGGAAAATATGTTTGAAATTTAAAATCCCTCCAAGTAATAAGGGCTGAATGCAGGATTACAAAAAAACTGTAATCTTTTTATTTTCAAGTGAAAACTACATATGCAAATCAGGTTAAGAGAGTATTCAATATTAGAATCTCTCTTGCTTTCAAACTTTGGCATTTTTGCTCTGGAGTCCAAAGTGTTTAGAATAATCCCATCCTTTCTCTTTGGACCACAAACCGAGGTGGATGATTGTGTGACCAATTTTATCGCTATTCCAACTACTTTGCTAAGACAAGGCAAATCCCTACAATAGGATATCGAATAACCCAATATACTCTTCACAATCAAAGTTAAACTTGGGAATAACAAAATTGCGAACGTTTTAATCATGACTTATATTATTTCGTGCTTCTAATATTCTTTGATAGGCAAGTTTCCTAATACCTTCTTTTATCCCAAAGCATAGCTAGCAGAACGTATTCGGGATGACCAAAGTAACCGGTTCTTTGAATGACACATAAACTGTATCTCCTAACTCATTTGGCAAATATCTACTTAGATTAATTTAATCGAAAATATGCTTTGACTTCTCTAAATGCACATCGGCGCGTACACTTTTTTTACAAATGTCGATAATGTTACCAAACTATCCGATGGGTCTTTAGTAGCTACATGAAGCTTGAGAATTCGATTACTTGTGGTTAGCCATCTGGAGTGATTAAGCTTTCCAGGATCGCGCTTTGGCATGTTTTCCATCCAAGTTCCACTTACAACGACTTGACAAATATCGTAAAGGTATTTCTGATCGCAACTCAAATCACTGGTCCGTATATCTGTAAGAGCTGATTCAATTCGTCTGAATTTGACAAAGGCAGATTCTCACAACGCACTAGCATCTGCCCGATTGGACCGTTAAATGTTTGAGGTCCAGGTATTTTGCCATCTAGGTGTTGGGCTAAATGCCTTTAGGGAATTCATTAGCATGAAAAAGGCAGATTACCTACTGCAGTGCTATGGTGGGGAGAATTGATTGTTCTGAAGGTTTCTACGGTTACCAATAAGTGTTGCCAAGTTTACGAAAATAAATAGTTAAATTTATTTTCAATTCAATTTACTTTACACACTAATATTAGGAAAAGAATCCCTGAATTCTTACATAGTGAGATATATTCTTTTTATCTAATAAAACTGATTTAAGTTCGTCATCCACCTCCACACCACCGTTTCATTATAAGAAAATGATTTTACCTTGGAGGGGTAGAAGACTAGCTCCAATCATTTTTTGTGATAAGAGTAAAATACTTACCTCAGACACAACTTTTCCGCACCCAGGATTTTGATGTGCTCAAACTTGAAATGTCGCACCATACTAATAAGGAGGTTGAGATGATGTTTGGTTGCCCGAGTGCTCGAGCTTATCGCTTCTTGTTACTCAAGGAACGATTCTATATCTTAGAAGCACTAAGCTGCATCGTTATGCCGAAGATATATCGCCAGCTTTTCTTACCAGTTCAACCATAGAGTATTAGTCGGCACCATGAAGCCCTGCATGCTGAGTGTTATCATCTGTGAAGCTTCAAGGGTTGACCCGTGACCACTTGCAAGAAAGTTACATTGAAGTTATGCTTCATTTTTCTGCTTGACCACTTCAAGGACAAATGCTATGGTTTAACCGGTGCAGAGCATTTCATTAACTTATCAGTAACGAGCGACTACCGGAAAAGCACTTCGCTACCGCAGATATCAGCTATTGGTTGCTTCAAAATATCGCACCCTATCAGTTTTGGAAGTATTATAGATTGTTCCAGCCTTGAGTTCTGGTATCGTACAAGAATAGTTCGATTATCATTGGATACAAATTTATAGCCAGGCGCCGCTTTTATCGTAACAAAAATTTTCAAATCTGGTTGGAATATAACACAGAATCGCTCAAAAGGGTTGGTGGAGCACGGCCATATCAGTATAAAAGCAGTACGTAATTTTTCAACTTGCCCCTTAAGTTTCTCTTCAATAGCATCTCGCAATTAGTAGATTATGTTTGCATAATAGGTCATTGCAAATCCAAACGTTCATTTTATCATACTTAAACCACCACAAGGTCCAAGGTCTAAACACACGTGGGTAGCGTGTGTAGCTATATGGAGATAGAAAGAGAAGGAGGTCCCACGGACTGTAGCGAGGGAACACGTTGCATAAGACCTGCTTTAGAGATCCGCCGGGTGGTTCTTCCTCGTCGATAGTCCGGAACCCTCTACCATCTACGGATGATCACAACATCCATAGCTAAGGAAAAATTCTGCTGGGACTGGACCCAGACCCGCGCAGCTCACGGAGACTTAGTTATAGCCATGCACCACTCCACCACCGCTTTGTCTGAACTTCTACAAGATGTCTTTCCTCGCACTTGGAATCGAGATACCAGCATTTGACTGTATAATTAGAAACTGCACATCCTCCAACATTCGACAATATTTTTCCTATCAACCTATTTCTATTAAAATTTCTGTCACACATGAGTCAAATAGCCGAGAAGAGTTTGACATGTAATAGCTGAAAAAAGCTATATCATCAACATTCTCCAAATAGAAGACTGTGAAGGGTTCAAACGCGCCAAGCAGTAGGCAACCTTCATATACATTTTAAGACATATATCTAGACTGATAGCACGGTTTGGGGATGCAACAATCTGGTACAGTTTAATGATCCAAAAGAACAGTGCTGTATCTTGACTAGTAAGTATGCCTAGCCCTAGCTCCCATCCGGTTTCGATGGATGGCCCAGTTCTACCAAAGAGCCATTCATTTCAGCTGGTTGGACCACCAAGGACTTGATCTAGCACAAATACATTGCGTCAATCGCGGCAAGTGCTGGAAAAAAGCTAGGCTACTTGTTAATATCTAAGAAGTAAGTAAGTAAGTGATATCATGAGGCCATCTAATTTTTTCGAAGATAATCGAGAAAAACCCGTTGCTAAGTAATACTTTGCAGCACTCATGCTTCTTGTTAAATAAAATATTACTTTGCATTATGTTTTTTCGATTTTTTTCACAGGAAAAAAATTAGATGCCCGAATGCTATTTGACACGAGTATTTCATGAGTAATAGATTACATTGCAAACACGTAGCTTACGAAACATACTGCCTATTATACACGCATACCTAATTTTTGGTGACAGCGTCTGTCAAGTTTTGCCGCGGGTACACTCGGAAAAACTGCTGACAGGCGATGTCATACAATTTTTCCATCTAGAAACAATTTGTAATTCAAAATTGCGCATTTGCGATTGATAGAAATTAAGACGAGGAAAATAGTCAATATAACCTCCTCACTCTGAACAAGGCCCTAATAAGACCTAGCTTTCAGTATTGCTCACATGTTTGGGATGCTTACCCCTAGACTGAACTGGCAATATTCGATGCTGTACTGACGAGACCTCTTCGACTGGTCAATGACTCTGCTCTAACGGACAGCTTTGGAACAACTTTATACCGACGGGCCAGCTCCAGTCTGGCTCTCCTCTACTGCTATGTCAATGGGTTTTGCTCCTCAGAGCTCTTCTTCACAATGCTGCCTCACAACGAGCCTCTTACCCGCTATCTCTGTTTGATGAGATTGTGGAACAATCTGCTCGAGAAGGCTTTCTCTAGTGTCTTTAAGCTCCTTATAGCAGCTGCGATGCTCCAGTATTACGCGGATGCTGCGATATGAAAAATATAAGGCATACATGGGTTTGACATGCAAACTTGACACTTTGCTAGCATTAAGGTCACTTGCTTTACTGTCAACAGCATCCTCCAAATAAATATGTTTAAGGAAATCAGAGGTTCAGAACAAGGGTACACTTTCGTCTAGACCTTAGCAAAGAATAAAAACTTGGAAATAATTATTTCAAGCGAATGGCAGTTTAATTTGCCTTACTAAGATCGTATTTGTGCTTGTATTCCATAGACTTCAGTGTTATTATCTATGCGTGGTATGGATGCCTATATGTATGTCCTTTTAAATGAAATTTTACTGATACACCATACACAGACACACTTACTGAGACTCGACCTGCACTCCTCCGGGACCACCCATATTGTCGGTAGGATATGAAAAGTATTTGAGAAGCGACCTCGTATCATACGTCATCGCCACAAAATCAACGATTTATGTTCGAAGATCGGACACGATCCCGCTCAGTCGCTGCATGAATAGAATCGGGAAAATGGGAGCTGCTCGAGAATAAATTATGGCCGACGCCACGCTGATGCCGTTCATGCCGCGCAGGGTGAACCACAAGTCCGCATCGCCCGCGGATAGCTGCCAGTTCTCGATTATTCCACCCTCAGCGAGGTACCTAACGGTTTTCATTTGCTTCCATTTGAGGGGTTTGTGTATTGTAAAAGATTATGTGAATATTGTCCCGTCCATTAAGTTGAGTAAGAAAGTTTAACCAAGTACATTGACTCAGTGCCTCAAGCGCTCACAGTCGGACACTCCTTCTGTCATTGATTGAAAGAAGATATGAAAAGTAGGGGAACTTATTTTTTAAAAGCTGCGGGCTTGCAGATTTTGTAATCTCAAGCATCATGTACTTGATATTTTCAAGACCAGATTCGTAGTGAAAATTGTCTGTCATCAACTAAGATTCAACTCCTAATCAAGGATGGAAAATATATTTAAAACAGATACATACATAGCATTTGATTCATTAGCAATACAAATTACATGATGTATAAGGTAAAGTAGAAATCCGTTAACACTGATAAAATTATCAGGGTGGTACCCCCAGTAAATACTGATCGTGTGATATTCGCCTGAAGCATCACCTGTGGACCTTTTACCCAATGTTCTGTAAACATCCACTATACAATTTCTCCAGACAATATTTGTCTGACGATCTTTTACTCTTAACTTGGCAGTAGCTAAATCCTTGCTCACTTGTTTCTACTTTTAGATATCTACAAAAGCTAAGGAAAAAGACAAAAAATGAATTACAATAGCTAGTAGCTAAAAAACGTTGACTTAAAAAAGAGTAGACAAAACAGAAAGCATCGAATAGTATCTATTTTAAAAAAAATTTAACCTCTCCACAAACAAAGCCTTAGGTTTTCATATGTGCAGTTTTATTTTCCACTCATCACTTTGCTACTACCGGCAATATTGATTTTCTCTTATAATGGTACACAATAAACCATTATTATATACGTACACATACCTAACGTACCTGTAAATACCCGGGAATTGCAGTTGCTTTGTTCCCATCGAATGGAATATGATTTCTAGCCAGCTTGGTACTTGTCCGATTTTTCAACGTCATCTGACATATTGGTGTTTTTTTGATTAATACCTATCATTAATAAAACGGAGCACGGAAAAATGTAAAATATGAATATCCCATTTTTCGTCGTTTATTAAATGAATGGCGAAATAGTTTTTGCGATTTAATAACGTTGAAAAAAATTAAGCAAGGTAATGCAAGATTGTGGTTTCAGTTGAAATTCTATATTGTAGCTAGTGAATTGCTCCAGGTGCTTCAGAAGTTCAAAAGAAAGTAATAATTTTTTTTTAAATATATTATATATAATATTTTTCTCTTGGCTATGGATGTTGTGATTGTCCGTAGGAGGTAGACGGTCTCTGACTGTCGAACGTGGGGTACCACCCGGCGGATCTCGTGGGCGGAGCCAGAATGTGTGCATGGTGCATGCACACGTGTTCCCTCGCCAGAGTCCGTGTGGCGTTCCCCCTTTCCCCTGTATCCCCCTATAGCCCCACGGTACCCAATGGGTGTTTAGGCCTTAGGCCTTCGTGGTAGTTGGAGTATAAAAAAAAATAATAATATCTATTCACTCAATGTACAAAGATAACAAACAACATGAGTAAATACATATAAAATCAAAACAGGCCCAATAGAACGCATCGCCTGTACATGTACCAATAATTGTAAGTTGCAACTGTAGAATGCAAATGAGTAAAAATTACAAAAATTAGCTACAGTAAATTATCTATTTACTTGATGTTCATATTTATGAGTTTATGAATTTCAGTCCTAGATATAGAATGTTAATTTTTTGGTCGGAGTTTACAAATTTATGGTAGTGAGTGATACTGTGTAAGAAATAAAGCCGTCTTATATCATACATTCGAACATCTGCGTATATTTTGTCAGTGGGATAATGTTTTGGTTTTTTAAACATCATTTTTAGAATACTTTTTTGAAAAACATCAAAATTATAGATATGTGAGTAACATGCAGCTCCCCATGCTAATATACCATGTGTGAGATGAGGCTCAATTAGTGCATGGTATAATGTTCGAAGATATTTTTCTGTCAATATATTCCCAAGGTATTTAATTTTGTAGGATACAAATCTAACTTTCTTTAAAATATAATTGACATATGTAGATGTCCGAACGTAAGTGAGGATCCAAGACCACTCCAAGGTATTTTATGATGGGCACTCTATTAATTTGCTTTTTTTGAGCATTAATGCTGGAGGAGAAATTTGTGCAATTTGGCAGATGTCTAGCATAAGATCCAAATGGAAAAAATGTGTTTTAGAATAGTTAGTGCTTAATTTTCTACTGTTAAACCACCGAATAATTTTGAAAAAATCATTTTTAATTACATTTTTCAGATCAGACCAGTCAGTGCCTTCATATAATATTGCAGTATCATCTGCAAAACTGGCTACTTTGCCAACACAACTAATTTGGAAAATATCATTTAAATATATATTGAATAACAGTTCCTTGTGGGACACCACGCTTAATATACATTTCTTTACTAAACGATCCTGATATCTGCACAGATTGTGGGCGATTTGACAAATAATTTTCGATCAGTGAGTACGCGTTTCCTCTGAAACCAATTCTGTCCAATGCTGCTAATAATAATTTGTGATTAACTGTGTCGAAAGCTTTCCTTAAATCAACAAAAATGCAGATTGAAGGGATTCTGTTATCAATATTTTGATGTATTTGATTTACAATTTTAGTTATTGCGTCAGATTTAGTCTTCCCTTCTGTAAATCCATATTGATTTTCACTTAAAATTTTAAATTTTGTGAGATATCGAATCATTCTAGTAGATAGAACTTTTTCAAAAACTGTTGCTACACTGGGTATTAATGATATTGGTCTATAGTTGTTAACATCTGTTTTTCTTCCTGATTTATATATCGGTATTATATTACCTTTTTTAAAATTGAGGGATATATATGCCAGATTCAAATCATTTGTTGATTAGGTAGGTGAGTGGTTCTTTTATGTCCTCGGCTATAATTTTCAAATGCTTGCCTTTAATACCATCGAACCGAGGACTTTTTCGATTTTTTAAGGACATAACAGTGGTGTATACTTCACATTGCTCAACTTTAATCCAAAATAAATGAGTTCAAAGATCTTTTCGGGGGCAGAGTATTGGGCACATTTGATTGTATATTACTTGCTAAATTTTCGTCTGTCAGTAAAAAATTGCACAAATTGATCGCATATTTGTTGAGTATTTTTTAATACTGTTCCCGATGTTGTATTTAACACTCATGACACACTCTTTAATTTTTTTTTCCCAGTAATCTCATCAATAGTTGTCCAAAGCCGCTTAGGATCATTTAAGTATTATTCAATTTATTTCGGTAATGTTTCGTTTGGTTTGCCTTGCAAGCTCTATAAATTTATTTTGTTTTTGTAGTTGGCGTTAGTTCCATTACATTATACATTCTTTCTTTTTAAATTGCCGATGTTATTAGTCCTTTGGTAATCCAGGCATTTCTGCTTTCTCTTTGTGATTAATTATTACTTTATTGGTACTAATATTAGTTTTTTTATTTTCTCTATGAACAGTCCCGTTGCTTTGTCTATATATTTATAGGGTATAATTGTTCCCAGAATTCTTGTTTGATATCTGATATTAGTTTTGAATTTCGACAAAAGATTTGTAATTTTCCTGGTTGTTATTAACGGTACTGATGTTTAGAATGTTTTTTGTTTGAAGATATCAGTAAAATATTGGAGAAGTGGTCAGTAATATCGCTTTCTAGGATTGTTGGAATACAAGTAATTTTGTTGGATAGGTCTTTCACAAAGCAGTGATCTATACATGTGCCACTGATGGAGCTTGTAGGTAGGTTTTTATAGGACAGAAATCCGTTACTTGATAGGATATAAGTATTCATTTGTGATGGGATCATCATCCAAAATATTTATATTGATATCTCCAAGAAAATATGTTGCTTTAAATGAGCGCTATTTTGATTTTGAAAAAAAATTCGATATTCTTTAAAAACTGGTGGGGTTCTGAACATGACGGACGATAAAGTGCAGAAACCTGGATTTTGTTATGGTTAATTTGGATCATTATGTTTAAAGTTTTGATTCCATCGGTGAAAGTGAATGTATCATGATTATATTGAAGTTTATTTCTTACAAAAACTATCACCCATCGTTTTGGTTATAAGTGCCAAAGTTATACAGCGTGTCATATTCCCTGCTGATTGAAGCAAGAAATATCAACCACTCGCCACGTTTCAGTTAAAACTATTAGATCAAAATTATACCATATTTGATCGAGTAGTATTTTTAAGTAATCAATGTTGTGTTTATACTCCTTATGTTCATATTAAAAATTAGAAATTTCGCATCAGAATTTTGTGTACATAAATTAAGTTCATCGGCGTTTTGTGCTATATTTGTTGCAATACTTGGAATTTGGAAATCATTAATGTATTTATTTACTGACATTTTTAAGTTCTCTTTAGAGATAGGAGTGTCAAAAGATGAACTTGGATTTTAAAAAAGTATCCTTAAGTTTTGTTGTTTCTGATATTTGAACGATGGACAGTTTTTGTCGGTAGGTGAGTGGTTGATATTATAATTTTGCTGCTGATGATGCTTACAATTTTCTCCTCGTGACCGTTGCTACAGTTGGCACATATCTCCTCATTCCGAAATTCTTTTCTGTATGATTAAAACGGTAGCATTTTCTACACTGAGAAATGGCGTTATTTTGATATACAGTCAAACATTGCCACCCCAGGATTATTCTTCTATAATTGTATTCGAAGATTTTTTTTATAGTTTTCCAGAAGTTTCCGCGTAGATAGTGTAATTGTCTCTTGATGGAAAATATTTTATAAACTATACTTGTGTGTCTCCACTCTGAATCATATAATTCTGATGTATAATATCTTCTTCAATTTGCTTTTCATTTGGCTTTTCACTAATTTATAATTTATTATTTTAATTTTTGGATTTAATATTTTCGGCTCAGTTACATGGTATTTTTCATTCAATTTATTTTGAAGTTCATCTGTCAGTTCACTATGATTTGGTTCATCAATTTTATATCAGTTCCGCCATTTTTCGAGTTTCTCACACTTTCTATTTGAATGTTCAGAGATGAAAGATACATTGTCTTACTCAATTATCTTCCCGTATCATCGCAAGATTGTTTTTCTTTTGGAATAACGGTGATGCATTTCAGGGATTGCCTTTTAGAAATAGGTATCGTTGTTTTAAGATTTGTGCGTATGACTTTTCTTTCACTAACCGGTTTTTCTCAACTTCGTCGAGTCTCATGTTAATTCTATTTAATGCTGATGCTATGGCATCCTTCTCAGTAATACTTGCGGTTACTGATAGCTGTTGCTCTTTAGTTTTAAATTTTCGTTATTGAGCTGACGAATTATTTCCTCCTTTTGTTATCTTGAATGGTTTTTGAATAGTTTGTATCAAGTAGCAATGTTCTATCCATGCAAGATAGTCACACAATTGTAACATTGGTAAACTTGTCAGCAGCGATGATTATAAGAATAAAAATAAATGTCACTAACAATTACATAAACACTTCTTGTTTATCTGTTGAGCGCTATAGCATAGTTCTAAAAATGGCCGAGAGCCATTTCCGGAAATGTTTTTGCTGGGTTTTATTTGGCCTAACCATCTCGCCGACTTGGAT